TAACGCATACGCACATTGAAAACCCGGAACGCTAACCACTACACTCCCTGTAAAAAAAAGAATTGGGTGGTCCGGGATTTCGAATTGGGATGTCGTTTCTTGAATTCGAGAAAACGACTTTTTCGAATTGGACTGATTTCTGAATTCAGAAATGTATGGTTCCACGATCAACCCAATTCGACAGATATTTTAAAGATGAAAATAAAGAGTTTAACACTTCACTGGACATTGAACAGTAGTTAATTGAGACGGTGCACGTTATTCACGTAGGTGAATACATTTCTTTAAGCAATAATGTTAATTTTCAATAAAATAGAGAGAATTAAAAATTTGATGTGGTCTTTGTTTACAATAGAAAAAGTTTTCTACTTTTAGGGTTATTAAAATAGCTTACTTACCGACAGCTGAGAAGTATTATAATAACAAATCAAATGATGATTTCTATACGAAAGTATCATTTACGTCGGTAATTGAATATTAATAAATTAATTTTAAATTTTTAAACGGATTAAAAATTTTTTATTAAGAATATTTAAAAAAAATTTACAATAAATACTGTAATTAATATTTTTTTCAAAATATAATTATATGTTTGTTATAAAAATAATAATTTTAAAACAATTTATTTGAATCAACAAAAAAATAATTTCTTTTCTTGATTTTCATAATTAAAACGTTTTTAAATTATTTATTCTTCAATTTTATAAATTAGGATTAAATTATGTAGGGGAGAGTCTCCAGTTGTGAGACGGGTTTTATTTTTGACCCGTAAATTGTAAACGGGTAAACGAAATTGTAAATAAAATACACCGTTCGAAAGGTAACAGAAATACGCAACTTTTATTAAAAGAAAGTGTAGTGTTTTGATGAACTCAAAAAATTTTACGATACATTTTCCGAGCACATCGCTTTTTTCAAAAAAAAATGTCTCCAGTTGTGAGACACTCATTAAAAATTGCTAAAATTTAATAAGTTTAAAATAAAACGTTATGTTTAGTAGAAATAATTAAATATATTAATAACACAGCCACACAAAAAAAAAAGTTCTGATCTGGGGTCTCACTATGTAGACTTTATGTTTTTTGGGTCGCTGAATCCGAATCCGAGGTCCATTTAGCCCCATCAGATCAGGATTTTGACATAACCTCAAAAAACCAATATGGCGGACACATTTTTGAAAAGTTCATCGGATTCGCTTGAAATTCGTTACTCGGGGGTTTTTGGGGTCGCTGATTACGAACCTGATGTCGGTTATTCAAAATTCAAAATGGCGGATCCAACATGGCGGACACGTTTTTGAAAAATTCATCGGATTCGCTTGAAATTCGTTACTCTGGGGTTTTTGGGGTCGCTGATTACATATCTGAAGTCAGATTTCAAAAATTCAAAATGGCGGATCCAATATGTCTGTATCAGCCATATTGGATAAGATAATTCATTTCTTACTTAGTGTTTATCTTCCACAATGGTATATAATTACAAGGCGGTTAAATTTGTTTACAAAATGTTTATAACAATAGTAATTTTTAATTTCCTTTTTTATTTTGTTAACAATTACATAAACAACTTAATGATCAAATTATATGAAGGATTAACTAATTAGAAGTAAAACAAGATCGTGCAACACATAGATCTCAGATACAACACATTCGCGTAAGTGCAAAGTATGTGCGTTGCAAATTTTGAAAATTTTTGTTTGTTTTTTATTGCATTAAAATTGTTGGTATAACAATTATTAGTCACATAAATATGAACAAAATCGATTGAAAAGTCTCAGAGTCATGCATTTTAAAAAAAATTACTTTAAAATTTAATGCCCGGTAAAACCCAAAAATTTGAAAAATTTTTTCCCTCTTTCTTCTCTTACACAACATAGTATTTACTTTTACACCAAATTTTAGAAAAATTGACGGACCCAAATCCAAAATTGATTTTTTTGAGAAAATTTGACCCTACTGTGAATAAATAAAAAATTGTTAAACAATATTATGATTAATAAAATAAAGAATAAAAGAATATACAAAAATTAAATAATCAAAAAAGAGGCTTCAATAAAAATTAAATAATAAATTCGAAAAATTGATGATGAAACAACAATCAGCTTAATTATTTATGAAAGCCGAATATACTGAATAAGAATTATAATGCTTACCTTGTTAGTCAGTGCTCTATTTGCCCTTAAATAAATGTCACTTAAAATGAAAAGGCAACAGTTTTTTATTTTGAAAGCGAAACTCTTCTTTCTCGAAATAAAGTTTTCTTGAGGAAATATATACACTTTCTAACTGATTGCAAGAAAAATAGACTTTATAAGACAAAGTGCGCGGTGGATATAAAAATTCAATAACAATGTACACTGAAAGAAAAATGAGGAAATTACTTTAAAACAAAAACAAAATATACGCCAAAAATAATAGTCACTGTAGCAAATAACAAACAAAATTTTCCAGCAAATAGTAGGGAAAAAAATTTTAAAGAATTGAAAATGTAAAGGAAAAGAAAAGAAATTCGCAAGGAATTCACTTCATAAATTTTGTAAATATAGGGAAAAAATGAATAGAAGTTTGTTTCAAAATAGACGACAATTACGAGAAAAAAAAGAAAATGAAATATATTTACACTGTTTGACAATGTCAATTCATTACAATATATAAATTTTCAGACTGCAAGTAACCGGACTTGATGAGAGCTGAAAAAAATTATTATATAATATTTATAACTATATGCGCGATTGTTATATGTATATATTGTACAAAAACTGTAACAAACACATGTAGAGGTAAATTAAAATATGCAAAATTATAACGCGTGTGTTACAGTTGACGAGAAAAAATTAATAAAAAATATCTCACTTAAAATTTTTAGAGAAGATGTTTCATTTGACTATTATAAACATGATGGATTATACAAATACAATATAAAAAAGAAAAATATAATTCACGTTTATAAAAATTATTTTTTTTTCATCACAAAAATTTTTAATTTTTTAAAGAAGTTTTATTTTTTACTTATTTTTTCTTTTTAACAATCGCTTTCTTTGTGCAGTAAAAATGCTTCATATACACAAATTTTTTGCGCCAGTAGTAAATTATATGTATCGTTTAAAAATATTTTTTTACAAAACCTTATGTTTATAATTATTGACACTGGATGAGTTAAAAATTTTTTACATAATTATTTCTTAAATACTTCATTAATCTCCTAGTTATTAAAAATGGACTTGCAATATTAGTTAATTAACACTAAAAATATAAAATTAAAATTAAAAATTAAACCCTAAAATCTGATTTAGTGAAAAAGGGGAAATTTTTCCCATTAGTTGAACTTTTGTTCTATAAATTTCTTTCTCTCGATTCGTAAATTTTTTTCAACTTTTTATTCGTAGTTGTTAAAAATGAAAAAAAATGTTGAAAATAATTATATCAATAAAATTCTGTATCTCCATTTTTCACTAATTCCGATAATAAAGCAAGAATGAAAAAAATTACTTCTACATAAAACTGGTGAGAAAAAAAAATTACTAAAAACTAAAAATCTCTTGTGGATATAATGTAAATATAGGAACTTACAATTTAAATTGATTAATATTTTCTCCCTTATATATAAGCGTATTTATAAATGGTCGATTTCAATTAAAATATTTTCGAAAATTCCTCCAATGTGTTGAAATGCAACGTCAACTCGTCTCGCAAAATTGAATATATTTAAATAATAATTAACGTATACCGGGAGTTGATAAGAATTTTAATTAAACGAGAAGTTTTGCGTTTTATCAGAAGCGAGACCAAGAGAAAATAAAAGAGAGATAGAGAGAGAAAGAGAAACAAGAAACGAAACAATTTTCTTTAATCTTACAAGAAGTTAGCTGAAAAATTAAAAAATAAAGAAATAAAAATTTTCAACAAAATGTCAATAAAATCGAATACGAATTGACGTTTTTGTACACTGAAAAAAAAATATTCTTGTTTTAAGAGGATTCCTCTTATTTCTATGCATATTTTCCTCTTCTATATGGCTCAAAAAACGTCCTCTTATTTTAAGAGGATTATTCTCAACTTAAGAGAAATTCCCCATAAAAGTAGAGGAATAGTCTCAACTTAAGAGAAATTCCTCTTAAAAGTAGAGGAATAGTCTCCAATGAAGAGTAATATTCTTAATTCAAGAATAAAATGTAAGAGGATTTTAGAAGAGGAATTGTCCTCTTAAAACAAGAATATTTTTTTTTCGGTGTAGAGTGCATAAAATTTGCAATAAAGTAATTATTATGCAAATTGTATTCCTTATACAAAAGTATAACCACACGGAAAAAATTTTGGGTGACGGGCCATTCCAAGTAGACTGAAGATTTACGAATGCGATACGACTCTAGTTTGGAGGAGCCGCATTTCCAACTCGGGCGTGCTGAGCGCCCAACATGCGGCTATTGCAGTCTCAAGGTTTTGAGTCTCAAATCTTGGGTGTTCAGCGACACCGACATAGGAACGCAGATTTTCCGAACTGAGATCGCAGCACATCCAAACTATAGTTCCTCCACTTTCCGACGATTGGGATTGCACGGTACTCAACATTTTTTCAGTGTACAGTTAAGGGGAATAGCGTAAAAAAATATTAATTATAAAAAATTCTGCTACAATTTTTTCTTTTAAAAAAAATATGACATTTTTTGTGACAAATTGAGCAATGCTAATATTTTTTTACACTATTTTCATTTTTCTTCGAAAAAAAAGAAAAGTGACGTTGAAATTTTTTTTGTGACAAATTCGGTAATGTTGATATTTTTTTACACTATTTTCATTTTTCTTTGGAAGAAAAGAAAAGTGACGTTGAAATTAAAATATAAAATAGAATTCGATTCTCACTTTCTTCAATCGAGCATATTTTTGGACGACTTTCTGTTATATTTAAAGATTAAAACAAAGATTTTTCATTAGTCAAAATTGTGTAAAATTATAATCGTAATAGATGTGTGAATAAAAAGATGATTTCCTTCTTTTTTTTTATTTAGTTTCTCTCTTGTGATGTAACTGCGTTTTAAGGATGCAACAGATTGCAGGGACCAGTGTTCGTTTATGTTATCAGCTACCTGAAAAAGGACTTTCGAGACTTTAGACAAGGCGATTAATTGTCCATTTCAGGATAACTCTTCGTGTCAAACATGATCATCCCAAATTGTTGCCTTCTTCGCTCTATCCACCGACGCCAAGAAAGTGCCATGTGGATGCCATGATACCGCCGTTACTGCCGATCTGCGAAAAAAAAACACAGCGTCCCTGGGATTTAGGGAACCACAGTTTTTTTTCCAAAAAATTTGCATAAGATAAAAAAAATTGCAGAAATAACAAAAATAATCATCATTTACATTCACTCTGGTGTCATTTTAGGTAAATTAAAAATTTTAATTGTATTTTAAAGTTTAGTTCAAGCCTCGAATATTTTGATAATAGGATAATTTTTCGACTTTTCTTCTACATATTGCAACAAAATACCACTTTATCTGTATGAAAAGCAACTAAATCTTTGTTATACTTAAAAACGGTTTTGCTTCGAAACACCTGTTTTAATTTGACAATTTTTTAGACAGTGCTGATTTTTCTTTGAAAATATTGGTGGTCGATTATGTAACTTCATTTTTATTTTGACTTTCATTTTCACTTTCATATGGATAGATTTTTATTTTTACTTTTTTATTTTCACTTTTAGCTTAATAAATTTATATTTTCTCTTTCACTTTAATAGAAAGTTAAAATAAAAAACTGTCAAAGTGAAAATGAAAGTTAAGTAAAAATAAAATTACGTAATCGAACCCCAGGGGGTTCGTAATTTTATTTTTACTTTCACTTTCATTCTTACATTTATATTTACTTATGACTGATGAATTTCTTTAATAACTTTCATTTACACTTTGAGAAATTTTCACCTTGATGATTTTCTTTACTCATTTTCAAAATTCTGTTAAGTAAAAATAAAAATGAAATTATGTCAAAGTAAAAGTGAAAATTAAAATAAAAATCTATCAAAGTAAAAGTAGAAGTGAAAATAAAAAACTCAAAGTGAAAGCAGAAATGTCCCTAATTTTTCGTTTTCAACCTTAAAAACTTTTTAAAAAAACCAAATTACCAAATTATTTTCCGAAAATTGTTAAAAATGATTGATTTAGGCAAGAATTTGAGTTAATAATTTTATAAAATGATTGAATTTTTGAAAAATTACAGTTGTAATTTTTAGAAACAATTATATTTGTTTTATTGAATAAATTTTATTTTTCGAAAAATTTTATTAGGAGTTGTAAACATGATTATGTTTTCTGAAAAAGTTTTTAAAATAAATAAACTTATTTGAAAACAATTGAATTTGATAAAAAATTAAAATTGAAGTTATTATTGGGATAAGTGAGAAAGTTATAAATTATTTTAAAAATCAGGGAATAGTGAAGGTAATATAGAAAATCGTATTTTTGTGACAACTCTAAATAAAATAAACGAAATTTTCCACTCTTTTCTTAACTTTGAATGGACTTCATTTTTTTAAATTTTAGGTACAATTTTTAATCTTCTACCTTTATTCACTTGGAAAATGTTTAATTTGGAACTTTTGACATTTGGAATATTTTTCTTGTAACTTTTTATTTTGGAACTTTTTTACCTTTGTCTTTTTTAATCAAACAATTTTTAAAGAAATTATTTCAGGTTTAAATAATAAGATTTAATTTATTATTTAAACTATAATTGAATAAAATTTTTGTAATTTTATAAAACATTTGAAATGTAAATGAGTGATAGGTGAATGTTCGATTAAATAATTCCATTAAATAAGTATAAAGGGATGACATTAACTAATTTCGAAGCCTGTAGGTAATTTGAGACTAATTATGGACTTGAGATTGTACTTTCGAGTTTGTAATATAGCAGGATGATTCACTGAAACCACCAACTAATTTTTTTTTTTACAAAATACCACGCGGGCTTCTCGCCCATTACACGCATTACAAACGTTAGACTTGCATGCAGTAACTCATCAACGCAATATGGACACATCGTCGTTGTCCATTGCGGTTTTGGACAATGATTTTGCAAGCACTGCATTCCCATATAACAGAAAATAATACCCAGGAAACATTTATTGACTCCACTTCATTAAAACACTAAATTAAAAAAAGAGAATTACAAAAAATTATTTCTTTTTTCTCCCAAACATACTTATTACAATTTTTCCATAAAAAAAGCCAAAAAAAAAAAAAATATTTTTAAACATCAATTAAATTTTTTCTCAAAATTAAAAAGAAATTAAAAATAGATCTCTTTTGTAAAAATGTGCAGAATGTTAAAAAATTTCAAAAAACTTAATTCCAAAATTGTAACAAAAATAGGAAGTATTTGAATAATATTGACAAAATATTTGCGAGAGATAAATTTTGTTTTTGTATGTATTACAAAATGGGATATATTTGTTAAAAGAGAAAGAAATAAAAAAAATTGCGAAAAGGTATGAAACATTTAAAAAATATATATTTGTTTACTAGTACCTACACAGAGTAAAAATTGGGAATAAAAAAGTTAATATTTAATTACGTATAAATCGTGAACAAACATTTTATAAAAATTAAAAAAGTTATCGTTCCCTGTTCCTCGAGAAACGCGTTCAATGACCTAAATAACAATCGGGCTTATTACTTTGACATAATTTAATGTAAAAAATGACGTTATGATCAAAGTTTTGACCAATTCACCATCTTCATAAAAAAGTTATTTTACTTTGACTCATTCTAAAAAAAGTTTCACGAAAACTTTTGCGTTTAATGAAATTTCTTTCAGCGACTCGGTTACAAAAGACCATTGGCACATTAGAATGTAATTTTTCTTTATATATTTCTGACATATTTATCTTCGAAAAACACATAGAACGATGAGAATTAAAATTTCATTTTTTATTATTTAATTTGTAATTTATATATAAATGTTATAATTCTAAGAAATTAATCGTGGAAGTAGTACGTGAATTTAGTCACCCACTCAAACTTTAAACTTCCCAGGTAGAAATTTGTCAAGTATTATTTGTTTCCTTCCAGTAGCTATAGAGTCGAGAGCGAGTTTTACTTGCCAAGACAATCTAGCCAGTCCTGAATGAGTGACTGGCCAGTTTCACTGAATTTTAGACATCTAATATAGGTATATTAAAACATTAATAATATAGAATTTATAATTTCAATTTGACTGTCATTAACCACATTTTTGTTTTAGAATTTAATCTCTGACTGTAGAGAGAGAGAGAGCGCAGACATTTTTAATAAACCTTAACTCAAATTTCATAAGTATAGTTACAAATATATGTTCGAAAATTCCTGAATCCAATTCTACGCTTGAAATTAAATAATAAAAACATTAAAAACATAAAATTTGATTAAAATTTGTAAAAAGTAATGTTATTGCTTTATTTAAAAATAACTACTAATAATAAATAACTTTATTATTAGTAGAAGTGTAAAAACAAATTTTTTTTTATTTGATAAAATATTTTTTGAGTTATGGAGTTTCAAAATTTTGACTTTTTTGAAAATATCTTTTTTTCGATTTAATATATTGATAAGTAAAATTACTTAAATTAAAAGTATGAATAGTGTAAAAATCAGAGTGGGACATTGAAAATTTTTGCAAAAAATAATAATTTATCATTATTTTATATAGAAAATGAAGATTTATAAATATTTTCTTCAAATATTTTCAAGGTCCCACTCTGATTTTTACATAGCTCATAGGAAAAAAGGTTAGCTTTCCATTGCAAAAGGTTAGAAAAAAATAAAAAATACCGATTTTGAGATATATTGAAATTAAGAATTTCACGGAAAAAATTTTTTCAGGAAAGGTTTCCGAACTGCACCTGAACGGTGGATATGAGAAAAAGGTGAGGTCTACTCCTGCATTGTACTAAAGAAATTCCCGAACTTTTTCGGAAATCTGCCGTGAACAGCAGGAGCAATTCTTGAAGTTCACGGCAGATTTCTGAAAAGTTCGGGAATTTCTTTAATACTTTGCAGGAGTAGACCTCAACTTTTTCTCAAATCCACCGTTCAGGTGCAGTTCGGGAACCTTTCCTGAAAAAATTTTTTCCGTGTTGACCTTGAATTTCAAAGTCAAATTGAAAAACAACAACTTTTTTTCATCACCAACTTGTAGCTCATGAAAAACTCTTATAAAATCACTATTCATATTTTTAATTTGATTAATTTCACTTATCAATATATTAAATCGAAAAAAAGATATTTTCAAAAAAGTCAAAATTTTGAAACTCCATAACTCAAAAAATATTTTATCAAATAAAAAAAAAAAATTTATTTTTCACTCCTACTAATAATAGTAACATTTTAGCAAAGTTTCGAGAAAATTCATTTGACCTGGGCAGTTGAGGAATTTTGCCCCATATTCATATTTCTAAAAGCACTCTCAACTCACTAATGCAACTTTTTGTGCTCTTATCTGAATGAGGGATTTTCAAAGTTAATTTAAGTATATTAAAATTTTTTAAATTCAGTTAATGATTTATAATGAATTATTTAGAGTAGTTGAAAAATAGTCAAATCTACTAGAAATTTTTGTAAGCGTATTGATTTATAAATTACACAGGTCAACAAAAAAAGACTTACTTTTTTTTTATGAGATAGCGGAATGTTTTCCTATGTATTTTTGGACGCTGAACACGATCCCGACTTCCAAAATTGCTTATCACGTCAGGATTTTGAGAAAAGTGGGGGTAAAGACCCCAAAAACGCTTTTTTGAGGAATTTCAACATTTATTTTCTCTTTAACCTGACGTGCTAGAGACTTCCACAAGGTCTTAAATTAAAGCTTGTAATGTGCACTAAAAGACCAATATCCATAAATTAAAAAAAAATTAAAATTTTTTTCAAAAAATGGGATTGAAGACACCAAAAATTTGTGTTTTTGGATTGCTTTAATAGACTTTTTGCAATTGCTTGGATTCGCATGAAAATGGTTACTTGGGGTTTTTGGGGTCGCTGATTACGAATCCGATATTAGTTTGCAAAAATTAAAAATGGCGGATTCGTAATCAGCGACCTCAAAAACCCTGAAATAACAATTTTCAAGCGAATCCAAGCAATTCTTAATTCTTACATCTGCCATCTTGGTTTCGCCGTTCTAAATTTTTGCAAACAAATATTGGATTCGTAATCAGCGACCCCAAAAACCCTAAGTACCCATTTTCAAGCGAATCCAAGCGATTGCAAGAAGTC